GGATGGATGGATGGATGGATGGATGGATGGATGGATGGATGGATGGATGGATGGATGATAGGGTGGGTGGGCAGACGGGTGGGTGGGCGGGCAGGCAGGCAGGCACAGAGAGACAGCAATAGAAGTAAAGAAAAGAGAAGAGAACCCAATACAACAAATCTAATTTAGATAGGACGTATTTGAAGCTCATTCAGGAACAACGGCCAATCTCCTTCTATCTTGTGAATGCTCCAGCACTGGAGGTTTTTAAGAAGAGACTGTATAATCATTTGTCTGAAGCGGTGTAGAGTTTCCTGCCTGGGCTGGACTAGAAGACCTTCAGGGTCCCTTCCAGATTCTATTCTATTCTATAGAGAAAATGCAGAATAACAGAGTTGGAAGGGCACCTCAGAGATCTTCTAGTCCAACCCCCTAAAGTTTTTTTTTTAAAAAAAACAGACTTACAATGGTGGCTTCTCGCTCTGCCCTGACGGCTGCTTGCTGGTTCTCACGCTCCTCCTTCGTCAGGACTCGAGAGGATTCTTTAAGCCGCTGAAAATCCTCCGGGCTGATGATCAGGGATTCCCCGGAGGGATCCACAGTGGGGACGCTGGGGAGAGGAAGGGGAGTGGGGAGAAAGCCAGAATCAGCCAAGAATTGCAACCAGCAGGGACAAAAATCCATCCCACACAGGTCATCCTCAACTTACGACCACAACCGAGCCCGAAATTTACGTTGCTAAGTGAGAAATCTGTTAAGTTCCGCCCCTTTTTATGACTATTCCCGCCACGTTTGTGAAGCGATTCACTGCAGTGCTTCAATTAGCAACACGGTTGTTAAGCGAATCGGGTTTTCCCCATCGACTTTGCTTGTTGTAAGGTTGCAAAAGGAGATCGTGTGACACTATGACCGTCATAAGTGTGAGCCAGTTGAAAAGCATCCAAACGTAAATCACATAACGGTGGGGAGGCGTGTAAATGGTCCTAAGTGTGAAAACAATGTTCGTCGCTCACTTTTCCCAGCAACGTCATAACTTTGAATGGTCACTAAGCAAATTGTCATAAGTTGAGGACTCCCTCTATTTTCTCCAGGGTGGATCTTCTCATTTAACATCCGTCCCCAACATTTCTTAACCCGGAGATGCTCTAGATTGAGCAGATAGAAACAAGGGAGGTAGGGAGGGACTTACAACCGTTTGTTAAAAGGCCATTTGAAATTGCTGAAAAATGGGACATACGGGTGATCGGGGTGATTAATTTTCCCCAAGGAATCTTAGGAGCAACTAGGGCTGTCATGGAGGGCCGAGCCCAAAAGCTGAACTGAAGCTCCTCCTGTTGTGGCCCACCAGCGGAGCTGGCAGCAGATTCGGAAAGTGAGGAGGTTGGGGAGGAACCTGGGCCAGTCCTGGAGGCTGGGGAAGGCTCTGAGGAGGGCTCTGTGTCGGAGGAAGAGAGGGGGCCAGGGCCGTCTGACAGTTATCAGCTGCCTTCGGAGTCAGACATCANCCTTCCTTCCTTCCTTCCTTCCTTCCTTCCTACCTACCTACTTCTGTCTCCTACCTTTCTTTCCTCTGTCCCTCCCTCCCTTTCTCTTTATTTTTGACTCCTTCCTTCCTTCCTTCCTTCCTGTTAGAATGCAGCATTGGAGGCTAACTCTGCCCACTGCCAGGAGTTCAATCCTGACCAGCTCAGGGTTGACTCAGCCTTCCGAAGTCAGTAAAACAAGGACCCAGATTGTTGGGGGCAAGAGGCTGACTCTCTAAACCGCTTAGAGAGGGCTGTAAAAGCACTATGAAGCGGTATATAAGTCTAAGGGCTATTGCCCTTCCTTCCTTCCTTCCTTCCTTCCTTCCTTCCTTCCTTCCTTCCTTCCTTCCTTCCTTCCTGTCTGCTAGAGAGCAGACCACGGCCAGCTCCTTCACCTGTACATTTCCTCTTTCCGCTTCCGTTCCAGCTCGTCCTGCATCTGATTGGCCTTCTGCCTCTCGGCCTCCATCAGGTGGGCCACTCTCTTCTCCTCCCCGCTCAGCTCTTTCTCGATCTGCTTCTTCTCCAGGATCTGAGCGTCCCGGATGGCGTGACTCTTGGCTTCTAGGATAATCTGGCGGAGAGAACGGTAACCCTCGACTTACGGCCGTTTGCTTAGGGAGCGCTTGGAGTTACAACGGCACTGGGGAAAAGGACCGTTTCTCCCAGTTACGACCGTTGCAGCCTCTCCTCGGGGGGAGGGGTGTGTGTCAGGTGATCAAGAGTCAAAGGCTGGGCAACTGGCATGTACTGATGACGGTTGCAGTGTGATCTCCTTCCGCGGGTTTTCTGACAATGGGGAAGCCAGATGCATTGAACAGCCCTGCTACTAAACAACCGCAGTGATTCGCTTAACAACCGAGGCAAGGAAGGTGTCAAAATGGGGCAAAACTCACATTTACAAACATCTTGCTTAACGACAGAGGTTTTGGACTCTATTTTGGTCATAAGTCACAACCCCTGGTATGCCCAAATATGGGAGGAAGTTCACTGCTTCCATTCTCTGTCCATCGGCTCGTCATAAGAGACCATCCAGACAGAAACCCAATAGTGAACTTCCTCCCATATTTGGGATTTTGGTATTTGGTATTTATTAGTATTTATAGGCCGCCCTTTTCCCTGAGGGGGTTCAGGGCGGCTTACATAAAATGGGGAGGGAGGGGCATACCAGGAGTTGTGACTTTATATATATACCTTTCTCCCTGGCTCAGCTGATAAGGAGAGGAACTCTGTGGCTTAATGNGTTTTCCCACTGTTGTGCAAACACAATTCCAGCAGCTGCTAACATGTGTAAAATTAAATGTATATACTCCCTTTCAAATAGACAACAAAATATTTCTGGTTTTCATTCCAGATTGATTTAATTATGATTGCTTCTAACCACTAACTTCTGACTAGCTACTTGGACCGACCTAATTACTAATTCATAATTTCATATCCGGTCACATGGGTGGCAAGCCACTCCCATCTAGTCACATGGGCAGCAAGCCATTCCCATCCGGTCACGTGGGTGGCAAGCCACTCCAACAAAGGAGGCCACACCCACAGAGTAGGTTCCAACAATTTTTGAAACCCACCACTGGTGATCAAGTATATCCATAAAAACCTTTTGACATATGATTATAGACACAGGGAGAAATAAGGGATGGAGCAAGAGAGATTAGCCAACCATCCTGTTCTTGTGACTCAGAAATGAAGTTTGACTAGAACAGTGTTTCCCAACCTTGGCAACTTGAAAATGTCCAGACTTCAACTCCCAGAATTCCCCAGCCAGCATTCCCAGAGCTGGCTGGAGAATTCTGGGAGTTGAAGTCCACAAGTCTTAAAGTTGCCAAGTTTGGGAACCACTGGATTACACCCTTGATTGACTTCCCATAGTGACTACCAGTGAGCATGGGAAATGACTTTTATGTAAAAACATTGCATGCCAAAATATTGGTGGGTGGGAGAAACTATGAGTCTATAATTGTGGGTATATATTTAAATATGCAAGCCATCAATGTGGATGCATATGTACTTGTGAAGGTCTTAGAGGAGGGATGTCAAACTCAATTTCATTGAAGACTCCATCAGGGTTGTGTTTGACCTCGGGTGGCCAGGGTGGACGTGGCCAACTCAACTTCACTCATGTTAGGGGCACTTGTGGTGCTCTGCCCAAGTGCTCTGCCAGCAAAAATGGGCTCCTGGTTTCCATTTCGGCTGCAACAGCCTCCTGCAACTGTCTGCCAGCAAAAATGGAGCTCGAGAGGACCACATGCAGCCCTCCTGAGTTCTGTTTTCATTGGCAGAGACACCGCGGGCTAGTCCTTTGCTGTTTCCAGGATGTCCCTAAGGGGCCCATGGGGTCTAAGCACCCCATGGGCCAAATCTGGGCCCTGGGCCTTGAGTTTGACACCAGAGAGAGTGGGAGGGAGGGAGGGAAAGTGCTCTGCTCCTTGATCACTATGCTCCCGTGACCCAACAAAAGGGCGAATGACAAAACCGTGCTGACTAAACCGCGTCGCTAAAACCGTGACATCATCAACGCGCCAACAACAACGCGGTGACAACAGCGCGGAGACAGAAGGGCGATTTCAGTCGACAGAGGGGAGATTTAAGTTAAGGTAAGGGTTAGGTTTAGGGTTAGGTTTAGGGTTAGGTTTAGGGTTAGGGTTAGGGTTAGGGTTAGGGTTAGGGTTAGGGTTAGATTTAGCGTTCTGTTTAGGGTTATGTTTAGGGTTAGGTTTAGGGTTAGGTTTAGCGTTACGTTTAGGGTTAGGTTTAGGGTTAGGGTTAGGGTTAGCGTTACGTTTAGGGTTAGGTTTAGGGTTAGGG